TGCCTGAGTTTATAAAGTTCTGGAAGGCAGAACTTCCTGAGAGATGTGACCATGGAAGACATTCTAGAAGAGTTGGCAGTCTAGAAGATTTTGATAGAAGATGACTGAGAGCATATTTTGTTTCTGGTTAGGACATTTTTTATTGCTTTTTCTGAGACAGGGTCTCTCTGTCGTTCAGGCTGGCCTCGAACTCACTATGTAACTCAGGCTGGCCTTGAACTTGTGGCAATCCTCTTCCCTTGGCCTCCCAAATGCAGGATTATAGGTGTGCTCCACCAGTCTGGTTGCCTGTGTTCATTTAAAAAGCCAGCACAGTTCAGTGCAAAAGGCTCTGGGTTGAATCCCCAGTGCCCTGCCCTGCAAAAGGAAAGCACTTGTTAAAGGGAAATTTCCGTTACAAAATTACCGATGGGGATGAGCATGATGAGCCCCCTTACGCTGCCCAGCAGCTCCGGCATTGATGTTACTTGCTCCATTCTGCTTTTGCAGTGCTGAGCTCTTGGACATTCTAGACCAGTGATGTGAGCCTGCTAGAGAGGAGTGCCCAAACTGCACCCAAAGTGATCGCACGGTGCCAGCACTGCAGTTATGCAGGGCCACGCACTGGCCACAGAAAGCTCGGAGGAGTCCCGGCATGTAAGTTGCATTTCCTGACTTCATCACCTGGCATTGCTACTCCTTCCGAAGCACAGAAGGTCCCTGTGTGCAATGGCTTTTGTTTTTGGACTTTTTTTTTCTGTCTTTTTGAGACAGGGTCTCACTATGCAGTTCAGGCTGGCCTTGAGCTCACTTTGGAGCCCAGGCTGGTCTTGAACTCGCAATGATCCTCCTGCCTCAGCCTCCCGAGTGCTGGGATTATAGGCGTGTGCCACCGCTCCTGTCTTATTTTTTAAATTTTGAGACAGGGTCTTGGTAAGGCACTAAGTTGCCCAGCCTGAGCTCAAAATTGTGACTCTGCTTCAGGCTTCCAGAGTGCTGGGATGATAGACATGTATCACCACACTTCTTTATTATTTTGTGGTGCTAGGAAATTAACCTATGGCCTCTGGCATGTCAGGCACATACTCTACGGCTGAGCTACATTCCCAATCTGTGCTTTAGTCATCTTTAAACATTCAGAGCAACAACAAACCAAAGAAACCCAAAGCATGGTAGTTGTGAGGATAACTTTGTACCATGAGCATAACAGCCTAGAGAGACAAAGGGGCTGGTGTAAAGATGAGAGAAGCTTCTCAAGGAAATAACACACAGTAGGACCCAAACCTCTACCTCTCACTGCAAGTGACCTCGCTGCTAGTGACAGATGCTTTGAATTTAGTGTGTTATTCAACTTTCCGTCACTGTGACAAAATACCAGAGACAAACCAGTTAGAGGAAGAAAGATTTATTTTGGCTGACCGTGCAATGGCAGGGAGAAACACCGAAATGACACCCAGGATTTGGAGGCAGATTTCTTTATGTCAAGGGCATTGATTGGGATCACTTCCAGAATATCAGGTCCAATCTCTGGTGTTCTAGGACTTTTTATAAGGAGGGGGCCAGGGTTATAGCTCAGCAGCATAAATGCTTGCCTGATGAGCCGGAGGTCACGAGTTCACTTCCTGGTACGAAAAAAAGAACAACAACAAAAAAAGAACAGTCTTGTTTAAATTTTTAAAAAAAGTGGGGCTTGGTGGCGCACGCCTGTAATCCCAGCACTCAGGAGACTGAGGCAGGAGGATTGCTGTGAGTTTGAGGCCAGCCTGGGTTATAAAGTGAGCTTAAGACCAGCCTGAACTGCATAGCAAGACCCTGTCTCAAAAAGACAATAAATAAATAAATAAATTTCAAAAAAAATTTTTTAAAAAAGGGTTGGGGATATAGCTCAGTGCCGTAAGTACTTGCTTGGTAAGCTTGAGGTCATGAGTTCAATTCCTGGTACAAAAAAAAATTACAAGCAGGAAGTACAAAGGAGGTATAAAGGCGAGATAGAACAGCCTGGCCAAAAAAAAAAAAACCAGCTTGGCAGGTCTTCCGATTAGCTAGCAGGGTGAGATCATCGGTTACAAGGGTAGGTTAATGATCATCAGTTGTTGAAGATGGTACAATCAGGCATTTTGTATGTTTGGTTATGCTCTTGTGGTCAAAGGGGTCAAGAAGGTAATTACAAAGCCATGAAGCAGTTACAGGGCTAGGCAGTTTCCAAAGAACAAAGTTTTAAAATGAAGTTTCTCTTATACAGTTTCTTTCAGTGGTCTCAGAGGTTTCAGTGGGCAGCTGGCTTTCTTGCTTTCGGGCCGGTGGCAGAGCAGAACATCGTGGTAGGCGCGCCATGTTCCTTGTAGCTGGGAAGCAGGAAGGAAAGGGTTCCAAGGTCCCCTTGCTGTCAGGCCCTCATGGACTGAATTCCCACCCACTGAGCCCCAAAGCATCCACTCACTGTCCCATCAGCAGCAGACCAAGCCTTTTACACAAGTTCTTAGGGGCATGAGATCCAAACCATAACTCCTGGAAAACAAAGACGCCTCCTCATTTTTTCCAGTCCTCTGCCCAAGCTACTAGTTTAAAAAAAAAAAAAAAAAGCAGCAGCTACAAGAGATAGAACCGTGTGTGTGTGTGTGTGTGTGTGTGTGTGTGTGTGT